TGTCTCGGTTCGATTCCAGAAGAGGCACAAAAAATCGAATGTATAGTTTTTCATAATTATCAAATATTAGTTCAAAATATTAAATTCAGGTGGCGCATTTCGACCTTGACACTTAGAATATTTCTGAAAAACAAAAAACTCAAGTTTCGCACTTGACTGTAAGAGAGATACATAAAAAGAAAAAAAAAAAAAAAGTAGAGGAAGAACTGGGGAAAGAGAGAGGTAGAGGCAGATGATGAATAAGAGAGATGGGTATGATACATATTCTTTATTAAAATTCAATATTAATATAATATAGGAATAAAAATAACTTTTATCATCAATAACTTAAATAGCCGAGCGGTTTAAGTGACCGCATACTCGGTGAAATCGCTCTGGAGGCAGGCACAAGGTGAGACGGATCGAGTCCAGCTGAAGGCGACGACGACCAACTTTGAAGCAGAAAAAATGGAGCAGTGCTGGTGGCTGGCTGTTGGCGAGCGCAAAGGGTCCTGAAATGAACACACCAAGTGATGGTCAACGTGAGGTCCATGATGCGAGAGGTTACACGCAGAGAGACACATTGCGGAAGATGCATGCCGAACCCAGAAATCTACCCAAAAACCACAACATGCGAAAAAAACACCAAAAAAGGAAAAAAAATGTGAAAAAAAGCGGAAAAAAAAAAAAAAAAAAAAGGGAAGAGGAGGAGGAGGAGGGGGTGGAGAGCCTAAAAAAAACCCCCTAAGTCCCAGATCAATTTTTCTCTTTTCTGTTCAGCGTTGAAACTTTTTTATGTTTTTTAGTGTTCCCTCACACCAATTCCCAAAGTCAACACTCGAATGAAATCAAGTCCACGTTGAAATTTTCACTACGAGAAAAAATTACTGGGACTTAGTTAAGATATTTAACTTTGCCCCAATAAAATTTTCTCGTTGTGAAATATTCAATGTGAGCCTCACTCATTCGAATGTTGGCTTTGGGATAATACAGCATGCATAAATAACTCGTCTGTCTTAATTGAAAAGGTTTCAGAAAATTTGGACTTAGAAAAAAAAATTATCTGAAAGGACTTAAAAAAAAAAATTATTCGAAAGAATTATAAGCAGAAAATTTGGACTTAAAAAAAAATATATCTAAAACGACTTAGAAAAAAAAAATTATTCGAAAGAATTATAATCAGAAAAATTGGACTTAAAAAAAAAATTATTCTAGAGAATTATTTAATTAATCGATGAAATGAAATGATATTAATCGAATCAAAATTGTTTATACGACTTGATAAAACATGTGAAACCTTTACAATTAATCGAGACAAAAACAAATTTAGTTGACTTGAATAATATACAAATTATTAGAAAAAGTCATAAAAGAAATTCAATAAAACTTGTAAAATGAAATAAAGAAAAATGTTCGAAAACTTGAACATTAAAAACTTCAAAACTGTTTAAAGCTGATTGTTATCCTTTAGAAATCGAGTTAAATAATTTTTACAACTTGAATCGAATAATAAACTTGTAAACAGAACTATATTTTGTCTAATCATTCAAGTCAACTCTTTGAAACTTTGATTGCAAGTCTTGATCAAAATTGTTCTTGATAATATAAAAATAAAAATCTATCATTTAGCTATACAGCAATATAATTGAATAAATTTAAAATAAAATTACAGTAAAAGACTTTTAAAAGCTGCATTCAATTAACAATTTGGTAAGTCGTATTGAGTATTTGAAATATTTTGATCAAAACCAACAATCGTGTTATCCATAAATAAGAATGTACATGCAGTCAATATCGCTACAGGGAAAACACATGATTCTTGATACTGGAAATGTAATTTAAAAAATTGTTTCTGAAGAATAATGAACAAGAGGTGTGGAACACAAAAGAAGAGATTTTTGTAACAAAGTAAATTTGTAATTTGTAATAAAATACCATCAATTTAGGAGTTACCTAAGGAAGAATGCTAGGGCCTCTTCAACAAATGAGTAATCGATGCTTACAAAAAGCTGTATTGGTTAACTAATAATTTGGTAACAAAAATTTAATATACATATAAGAATTCTGAATTCCACACAAAATCTGTTCATAGTGTTATTTATAGAGCACAGGAATCTCTGGTGGAATAATATTATGGAATTGTAATAATATAAATTACTTTCAATGCCTTTGATACATACGAGAAGTACAAACTTTTATCTTTTATATTGATTTAAAACATTCATAAAATTTTAATTCATAAGTAAATTAAAAAACCTGAATCAACATGTTTTCCCCATAGCAAATTAAATATGAACATAGTCTTTAATACATATGTCTGCCAAATTAATTTAAAATCTTTTATTAGCATAATAGTTGTAGTTGATTAAACAAAGAATATATTGTATTTTATAAATTAAAAATTAATAAAGTATATCTTATTAAAGCAAATGATATTGACTCAAATATAATAGTATAAACGATATTTTTAGCAGATATATGTATACAACTATATTAATAATGCACAAGCCAGAAAATATTTCACTAAAATATATACAGACTGCTTTATAAATGATATCGGATAAGAGAGGCGCAAGTTCCCAAAGCATCTTTCAATTAATTTCATTTAATATGAAAAACAAGCATCAAATACATAACTTTATAAGAAATATCATCATTACAAGCATAAAAGTAGTATATAATAAAAAAACTCGGTCATTAATTGTAAACCTCTTTCAGAAAATAAATTATGAGTAATATCTTTTTATTTGCTTCTATTAAAATTATAGTTTCACTAAAGATTACAAAAAATATTGTGATGAAGTAAACATTTTCAAAATTATTTTACTGCTTTAAATACAAAGATAAGAAAAACTTAATGCATATATACTGCATATGTAGTACTTTATTTTAAATATTCAATGTATGATAAAATTGTTCTTGGGCATACATCCAGTAATTAAAAACAGTTTTATTGAAAGAAAATGTTTTTATTAAGAAAACATATGTTTCGAGTCTTGATTAGACCCATCCACAGAAAAATATAAATGAAAACATGTAAAAAAGCATAAATCTAACCAATTTATTAAATTAAATAAATCAAAACATTTTCTTTCAATAAAACTGTTATTAATTACTGGATATTATTATACCATCTATATACATATTATTTCACCATCTGAAGAAAACCCTCTCGCTTTATATATATATATATATATATATATATATATATATATATATATATATATATATATATATACATAACAATTAAATATTTAATATTTAAAATAAAGTACTACATATCAGATGTAATATGATAAATGCCTGTATATATCAGAAATATATTCTTTGACTCACTTTGTATAAAACATGCTTTGCACTTACATTGTTCGATATCCTCTACAGCAGCTCCCAGAGCACTAACTCATTACTCGAACCACCTCTGGAGCATCTGCCAGAAATCTCAAGTCCTCGACACAAAATACTACTTTAGAACCACTACATAACTGTAGTCTTTTACAAGTCAATTTGACCTGTTGCAATAGTCCGAGTAAAGTATTTACACAATACACGACACACGACTTACATTAGAGACTTTCGTGAATTTAGAATTCGATAATAAAGAGATATGTGTTGGAAGTACTCAAATATAAATTATACATTTTACAATTGCATATATATAAATAAAGGATACATTGGCGCTGTAAATGAATTAATAACCTACAAAAGCACATATATAAATTATACTATTGATAAATGCATATATATAAATAAAGGATACATTGACGCTGTAAATGAATTGTTTAATTATAAAATTGAGTCAAAATGGAGGCCCTGAAAGAGATACTTATCAAACTATTCAAGGTACACCAAGGCACTTCTACACATATCCATTTTTTGGCTTTTAATTAACGTTTCACGATAAATTTATTATATCAAAATGATCTACTAAATTAATTACACGTTTTGATGCTTAAATTAATTAAAACTAATTAAGGATTTAATTAAAAATCATAATTAACCCGACCGCGTGTTACTTCACGAAAATTTCTTTGGAAGTTATCAACATGTGTCAGAATGACTGTCACCTCTTGTACAATTTAAAGCGCGAAATTCAAACTTGAAATTTAAACTTTATGAAATACACCTTCGTGATTGCGATTAATTTTTATCTGAATTAATTAAACAATTAGATGTACAAATTAACGAAATCCAATCAAGGATTTAATTAAAAACTCTTAATTAACGCGAGCACATGTCCACACACGAAAATCTTTTTGACATTTGAAGTGATTGAAGTTAGCAATTAATTAATTTAATTAATTAATTTTAAAAATTAATTTCTTGAATATATATAATTCTTCAGTTAAAAATGGTTTTGTTATATATATATATACATACATATGTGAGTCAGTTTTTGACTCATATACATATATTTTGAGGATTTTTTGTTCAACGTTGAAATATATATTGATATATATATATATATATATATATATATATATTAATATGTAAAGTAGTTTATTTATTAACATAATAAAATAGTTAATTTTGAAGTTGACATATATGGGTACGTTCTTCAAAGGCGATTAAAAGTTTTCTAAGTGAATATAAATATAGTCTCATCACATCAGTAGCTGTGCGCAGGGCACATAATTTAAATTGTGTGCCCTATGCAAATTTGCACTTACACTAGCTTGTTTTTCAAGAAAAGGATTTTTAATGCTACTACTATAGGCCCATGGTTTCAAATTGATATTTTCAAATCAAATAAAAGTTGAAATATCAGAATACTAAATATATCGAAGATTAGTAACTTTACTTATGTAATATTCAAAATTTGAGATTAAAATCAAATGTTTGATCTTAAGAAAGCTAGCTTACATTAAAACAAAAACTGAAATAATTTTATACATTTGTACAATTGTACAATTTAGCAATTTATTAATGATTGAATAAGTATGTATAATAGATTTTTTATAATAATAATAATGTTATATAAATAAACTTTATAAAAGTAAGCACTATAAAATTAACCACCCGTACTTATTGATATTGTATAGCTCCTGTAGCAACCAAGCGTAATGCTCTTGGAAAGGCCTTATGTTCTGCTTTATGAATCCTATTGCTTAAACTGTCCATTGTATCATCATGAAAAATATGCACAATTTCTTGAACTATAATTGATCCAGTATCAACACCCTCCTGAAATACACCAATATATATGCACAAACTAAATTTGAAAAATTTAATTTATTATTAAAAAATATTTATCTATAAACTATGCTATGAGAATTTTATTGCCAAGTGCACAAATGATTGTGAATGAACTTACATCAACAAAATGAACAGTGCATCCAGTATATTTATCACCAGATTCAAATGCCTGTTTTATTCCATCCGCTCCCTTATATTTAGGCAAAAGAGAAGGATGTATATTAAGCATTTTTCCTTTCCATAATCTAACAAACTCTGGTGATAATATACGCATAAATCCTGCCAAGCAAACAATTTCCACACCAAATTTAATCAGCTCTTGATGTACTGCCATATCAAATTCTAATCTTGAAGGATAGTCTTTATGCTTTATGACCTAAAATAAAATATATAAACACAGCCGTCAAAAAACAGTTTAGTTTACATACAAGTTTTTCTTTTCAAAAACGAAAAAAATACTAACTTTTGTTTCTATTCCTGCTTTCTTCGCTTTGTCCAACCCCAAAACATCAGGTTTATTAGATATTACTAAAACTATTTCCACTCCTAATCCAGAACATGAATCCTTTGAAGCATCTATCAGAGCTTGTAAATTGCTACCAGTTCCAGAAATTAAAACAGCCACCTTTATAATTAATTATAAACCTTTTGAATAAATACTTAAATACCATATAGCTAAATTTATTGTAATGAAATTTATAATACCTTTTTCTTTATATTTAAAGACTTGTTTACTAGAGAAATATTCTTTTCAAAATTATTAACAATGACTTGTGTCGAATTTGTCTCTCTGGCTTTAACAAATCCTATAGTAGTAGCTCCATGACCGCACATTTGTGCTAAAATTTCCATTTCTGCTTCCTTTGGAACAATTAGTACTAATCCCAATCCACAGTTGAAGGTGCGTAACATTTCATAAATATTAATTTTTCCTACAAATTTAAAAAAAAATAATTATTATTAATATATTTCCCATACTATTATTAAAATTATATAATACATATTTTAATTTGTCGCACCTGTTTCATGCAGCCAAGCAAATACTGGTGGTATATTCCAACTATTTGCATCTAAAACAATTTGTAGATTTTTTGTTAACACTCTAGGAATATTTTCTACTAGGCCACCTCCAGTTATATGAGCTAATGCTTTAACTAATCCTGTTCTTAAAGCAGGTAGCACGGCTGATGTATATATTTTAGTTGGAGAAAGCAATTCATCACCTGAAATCGAGCTCATTGGTATATAAAATTTAAAAGTAATTTTTTTTATTTATGATTTGTTTTCTATCATGAAATAGTGTATTTACCAAAACTCTTTCCAGACGCACTGAATGGTGCAGGATCACTTATTTTATAACCATATTTATCTAAAACTTTATGTACTAAACTAAATCCATTGCTATGCACACCAGAAGATGGTAAACCAATTAATAAATCTCCGGGTTTAATGGTTTGTGTCTTTGGTAATATGAGTTCATTCTCAACTATACCCAAAGAAAACCCGGCTAAGTCATAAATACCAGGACGATACATGCCTGGCATTTCAGCAGTTTCTCCTCCTACACAAAAATTGTGAACTAATAATTATTCATATTTTTAACAAATTCTTTATTATATTCAAAATGATTGAACAAACCTATCAAAGCACTTCCAGATTGTCTGCATCCTTCAGAAATTCCATCTAAAACTTTTGAAGCTATGTTTACATCCAGTCTTCCGCAAGCATAGTAATCCAAAAAAGTTAATGGCTCAGCACCATTGCATAAAATATCATTAGCGCACATTGCAACTAGATCAATTCCAACACTGTTGTGAATGTTCATTTCTTGAGCTATCTACAAATATAAAATCAACTAATAAACATATGTAGCATCATCTTGAAAAAGTACTAAAATATGTTTAGCAATTATAGAAATGACCTAATGTAATGTTATTTTTACAGATTTATGTATACCTTTAATTTAGTTCCTACTCCATCAGTACCCATCACTAATATTGGATCCTTGTATCTTGTGGCAACATTATTTTTTACATATGAAGCGTCATTGACCCTAAATAAACCCCCAAAACCACCTAAGCCGCCAATAACGCCCGGTCTATTCGTAGATCTGAAAAATACGCATGAGTTACACAAATTGATAAATTTTAAATATTGTTTCATTTTATTGGATAAACCTGCATAATGGTTTTATATTTGTCACTAATGCTTCTCCGGCCTCAATATCTACACCGCTATCTTTATAAGATATAGTTTTTAATTGTTGAACTATTTTCATATTTCTTTCCCAAATCATCGAAAACATTTGCAAAGTTTTGAATTATGACCTAATAAAATATATGTGATAAAATAAACACCAGATCTTTTTAATAACAATATAAATAGCATTAAATTACTTGTTTATTTGATTTGACTCTTGCTTCCACTCTGCCAATTTCAATTCCATCAAAATTTTGTAACATAGATAAAACCTCATTTTTAGATTCAAATGGTACAACTAAAATCAAACCTATACCACAATTGAATGTTCGTAGCATTTCTGGTTCTGTTACATTGCCTGAGTGATGCAAAACCCATGTTTAATGAATCATATATTTGTATTTACAAGACAATTTGAAAATATGATAAAATACCCATTTTATATAACCACGCAAATATACTAGGAATTCTCCATTTGTTAAGGTCTAGTACAACTTGAACGTCTTCTGGTAAAATCCTTGGAATATTTTCAACTAATCCTCCACCTGTGATGTGAGCAATTCCTTTGACTAATCCTTTATGTATTATAGGAAGCACCTGCGATACATATAGTGTTGTAGGGGTCAGAAGTTCAACTCCTTCAATAAAAAATATATCAACTCTTGTATCCTAAGATACTCAAATAAAGCATTAAATTTTGTAACTTACCAATTGTATTTCCTTTATCAGAAAAGGGTGCAATGTCATTATATGTTTTACCAATTATATTTAAAATTCTATGAACTAAGCTAAACCCATTGCTATGCCCACCACTAGACGGTAACCCATAACAATATCTCCTGGTTTGATTTTCATTTACTTTTGGCAGCATATTATCATATTCTACAACACCTACACAAAATCCAGCCATATCATATTTACC